GTGTAGTTGTAGTTGTAGTTGTAGTGTAGTGGAGTGTAGTGTAGTGCAATGTAATGTAGTGAAGTGTAGTGGAAGGTAGTGTAGTGTAGTGGAGTGTAGTTTAGTGTAGTGGAGTGTAGCGGAGTGTAATTTAGTGTAGTGGAGTGTAGTTGTGTAGTTGTGTAGTTGTGGTTGTAGTGTTGTGGAGTGTAGTGTAGTGTAATGTAGTGTAGTGTAGTGAAGCGAAGCGACATCTGAACCTCCAAAAGTGGTCCGAACCCCTGGTGTTTTTAACATTTTGACTTCGAAATGTGCTTCGCGCCACACGGCGTGCACTTTTTCGACATCTCAACTTCCAAAAGTGGTCCGAACCCCTAGTGTTTTTAACATTTTGACTTGGAAATATGCTTCGCGCCGCAACGGCGTGCACTTTTTCGACATCTCAACTTCCAAAAGTGGTCCGGAGCTGGTGTGTTTGTACATTTTGAGTTGGAAATGTGCTTCGCGCCACAACGGCGTGCACTTTTTCGTCATCTCAACTTCCAAAAGTGGTCCGAGAATGGTGTGTTTTGCACATTTTCACTTGGAAATGTGCTTCGCGCCACAAAACGCGTGCACTTTTTCGACATCTCAACTGCCAAAAGTGGTCCGCACCTGGTGTGTTTTGTACATTTTGACTTGGAAATGTGCTTCGCGCCACAACGGCGTGCAATTTTTCATCTCTCATCTGGCCAGCTGGCTCCTCACCCGCCGCTTTAGCGAGCCTACTTTTCGACCCTCCGGAGCCCCAAATCATTGGAAAAACACAGTGTTTTGCGACTTTCCTACCTTTGCACGCATCTCATTCTTCTTTCTTCTTACTCTTCTTTCTTCTAATCTTTCTCTTCTCTCTGCCTCTTCCCTGCTCTGCTTTTCATCTGTCCATATTGTCGGAAGTTTGACTTCTAAACTTCCTTCGATCATTAGTTATTGATTATTTGTTATTGATTATCATTAGTTATTGATTATTTGTTATTGATCCTCAATAATTGATTATTTGTTATTGATTATCATTGGTTATTGATTATTTGTTATTGATTATCATTGGTTATTGATTATTTGTTATTGATGATCATTAGTTATTGATTATTAGTTATTGATTATCATTAATTATTGATTATTTGTTATTGATGATCATTAGTTATTGATTATTTGTTATTGGTTATCATTAGTTTTTGATCATTAGTTATTGATTATCATTAATTATTGATGATTTGTTATTGATTACCATTAGTTTTTGATTATTTGTTATTGATCATTAGTTATTGATTATCATTAGCTATTCATTATTTGTTATTGATTATCATTAGTTTTTGATTATTTGTTATTGTTTGTCATTAGTTATTGATTATTTGTGATTGATTATCATTAGTTATTGATTTTTTGTTATTGATTATTATGATTATTGGTTGTGATTCATAGTTATCTGCGAATGACATTTTTTTTTTTAAATCAGTAGTTCAGCACAACTTAGGAGGATTTGGTGATGATGTACAAATCAGCAGTGGTTTTTGATGGCAAGATGACTATGCTTGAAACATTTGGTTCCCGGTGTTTGGCCATGCGGGGCCAGCAAGCGAGTTTCCGGTTGCGAGGCTATGTGTTCTACGATTTCAACCAACCCGAAGAGCTCCCAGAGGCAGACGCCACTTTGGCACAAGCGTTGTGCTGATCAATTCACTTTCTGGATTATCTGAGCTGTGGGAATAGAATTATCATGATTATCACTAAATGGAACTACTGAGAAGTAATACAATCATGATCATTGTAAATATACGTTTATGATCAAATTACATAGCATCATTATCATCATTATACAATAACAATTATCTATTGTGAGTATAATACTACCCTCTGGTTATTTAACATAGCCATGGAACATGGCCCATTTATAGATGGTTTACATATCAAAAATGGTGATTTTCCATGGCTATGTTAAATAACCAGATGGTATCTATAAATCAGCACTGATTCATGCGGCGAGACAGTCTCCAGGAGCTCCATGGGTCGTTTGACTTTGTGCTGATCGATCCTCCCTTCATCACACGAGAGGTCTGGGAAAAGTATGCCATCACAGCTCGCCTTTGGGCCGAAACTGCAGTTCGAAAATTGGCTCACTGAACTTGGGATTTCTGATGATGTGGATAGGATATTAGAATAAGAATATCATAGAATATCAATATTATAATAGGATATCAATAATAGTGTTATGCTCTCTGATGATATAGGATGATATAATATCAATATTAGAATATATTAGAATTAGATATCAAGAGAACACGCTTGGGTTCATTTTTCCTGAACAGTCTGGACATCGCTATGCCAAGGTTTCCTCGCCGCAAAGGGTGCATGCCTCTTGTGCACAACCATTGCAGAAAATGCTGCCATGATGCTGGAACTGATGGGGCTTCACCCAGTTTCCAGGCTGCCTATGTCTTCGCAAGGCGATGAAGACGCAACGACCAAACAGGACTCAGTAGACATGATTTAAACGTGTTATGACGTGTGTGACAAGAAACAACTTGACTGAGAATCTATGATGACACTTCGAAGTTCATTTGTTCCCCGTAGTGACCCTCTTTCAGCAAGCAAAAGAAACCGAGTGCTCATTAGAACCCGAGTGGCTTCGTGATGCTGAAGATACCGAAGATGTCTTGATATGTCGTGATTTCTCGTTCAGCTGAATCCAAGGCCAAGTTCCGACCTGGAATCCCCAATTTGGTTTACCAGTCGCCTGTCTCACTGAAGAGGCCAAGCGAAGTTGCTGGATGTGATGTCCATACAAAAGATCCGTTCCAACATACGGTTCAATTCGCTAAAAGTGTGGGTATTTCCCACTCTTCATCTTCATAGATGATGAATTCCAAGCTTTAATATGCTTTAATCACTTTAATCTTTAAATTGCCTGGCTTATCCTGGCTTAGCTGCGATGACTCCGATGACTGGTCCAAGGTACAGCATCTACGTGAACTACAGCTCCGACCGCCTGAAGGCGCTGAATCCCGAGATCGACCAGGACGACTGGCAGCGACACTGGCGACCCGCAAGCAGACCCAGCGACAGCGACCCCAGCGACCCGGCGGAGCGTCCAGTGGGTGCAGCTCGGTCAGAGGAGCCATGGCAGCCATGACGTCCAATTTCCTGATATTTACCCAGATATTTAAGATGTCTTGGGGCGAGATGGATCACTTGGGGAATGCTTCAAGCCTGCTGGAATTGATTCTTCGAATCTCGAGTTTGATTCGGCTTGGGCGCTTGAGGGGATGATTGAACTTGCAATTGGAAGACGTTTTTCATCATTTTTCTCTGCAACCACTGGGGTATTGGCTGCCCAAGTCTGGTGTGTCAGGAGTCACAGCCAGAGATGGAAGAGGCTCAACATCCCACAGCATCTTGTTGATCTCCGAAATTCTTGAAATCAATATTGAAATCTTTCATACTGCATCTATACAGGTACATACAGGTACCAAGGACCCTCTAACAGAAATCACGTTCTGTATATTATTCAATTTCAATACCCATCCCATAGCCTATACTCGGTCACGGTAATTGTCATTGTAATGTCAGTCATGTTTACTGATATCCGCAGAGAACACCATCGGTCTCTCAGACATGGGAAGCTGGATCACATTCCTTTAATGGAAATTCTTTATGCAGATGACATGCTTTTGATTACGAAGAATACGCGTGCAATGAACAGACTTCTGCATGCCGTAGAAGACGACTCGCAATATTACGGTTTGAACCCTAATAAATCAAAGTGTGCAGTTATTTCTACGACCGGAAGGCATGCCGTCAAATTTAAAGATGGAACCCCTGTACCTCACGAAGACCAATTTACATACCTTGCAGGAACCATCACACGTCATGTTGATATCCGCGCGGAAATTGAAAACAGAATTAGTACGACAATGAATACCTGGAAGAGCATGCATACGTTTAAAAAAACACGAACTGTTCAGTTCGATGGAAACTTGTCGTTTACAATAGTATGATTCGTTTCAAACTTTTATACGGAATGGACACTGTTGAGCTGACAAATTCATTACTTTCTCGCCTTGAAAGTTTCCAACTACGGGGACTAAGAAAAATCCTTGGGATGAACAGCACTTTCATCGACCGGAGGAATACAAATGCTGAAGTATGCCGCAGGGCCAATTAAGCCGCAGCATCAAGACATAATCCCTCCCCTAAACTGACGTGGTGGATTCAAAACATGTTTACATGAAAGAAGAATCAAGTTGACCGGACACATTCTGAGGGCTCATAACTGTGACCCGATGAGACAAGTGCTCGGTTTAGAAGGGACAGTGCCGAGCCATACACCCCGACCTAGAAAGAATTGGCCGGTGACTGCGTTAGGGTTCTGTTGTACCAAAACCACCGAACACCTCTTACGAATGCCAATGAACAGCAGCAGCAGATCTTGTTAGATGCAAGAATTTGAGTCTTTAGACTTGTCCATGCCAGCCACTGTCCAGCCACTGTCCGTGCAGTGGCCTTCGCTATTATTCGCTATTTACAATTTACTTGCCTGAGGGGTTATCCCATTCCGTTTCACCAGTTTTTGCGTGTCTTTTTGTGGTGCTCTTGATTGCTTTTCCCTTGTTTCACATTGCCTAGTGTTTGAATTTTATCGGAGGTGCCAAACGGGCACTTGTCCAGGGATGGTTTAACACGTCTCCTGAGCATTTAATGTAACGCGAACTGCGTTTTCCTTCCTCGCGCTTTGGCAGCAGAAAAATAGCCTATACTGGCCTATACTATGCATCCCATCTTCCATCTTTTGAGCCTCTCCTTGGCCACGGCCATGGCAGTTTAAGCTGGAGGTGCCCAGCTTCGAAGAGACACCGGAGCTGCTGCTGTTGGGGGAGCTGCGGCGGCAACTTTTCATATTGAAACGTGCCATTGAGGCCCGGCATGGGAAGCGCCGATTTTTCGCATGAAACACGAGGGATTTTTTTCATGAAACATGTAGGGATTCACTGGCTGACATGGGGGTAAAGTTTGATTTATCAAGAATGGGGAACTAAGCAATGAAGAGTGGATATGGGGCACACATGAAAAGGGGGGGTACGAAACCAACCATCCCGGGAGATAACGCGATATGATTGATGGGATATCACTTGGGAAAAAAATAGGTGTGCCTGAAAATGGGGGACTGCTATGATAAGCCAGTGGAATCTGGCGGTGGCCGGTTTTCAGGTCCAAATCCGTACTGATCATGTAATGGTCATATAATGATCATATAATGATCATAAAACTATCATATAATGATCATTACATGATCATAAAATGATCATGTAATGATCATATACAACACATATATGTATATATATATAGTTTCCAGCTGCATCCTGATTGGAATTGGCAGGCCATTCAGGCGCCTCTGCAGATGGCTTTGCGACGAAACTCCAAGGGCATCAGCGGCACCAACCAAGCGGCTGCCAAGGTGGACACGCCCCAAACAGGGGCAAGGGATGTAAGGGAATATACCCTCTGGTAATTTAACATAGCTATTGAAAATGGCCATTTATAGTGGATTTTCCCATTAAAAATGGTGACTTTCCATAGTTATGTTAGTTTACCAGAGGGTAATTAATGTATATTCATGTGCTATGAACGGATTACTGATGAAACATTGTTTTTTTGAGATATTTTAATGGAATACGAGTGGGATATCAATGAAATAAATGGACTATTCATGGTATATGGCAATTTCACTGGGATATGCAGAATCAGTTCACCAGGAACCAGGATCCATTTGAGGATCACCTTTCTGAAGACTCCGGTTGGGGATTTTTTGCAGACTTTTGACAGAAAAAAACTTTCACCTTTTTTCGATCAGCAGATGGCTCTGATCCTCAGTTTTCTTTCTTCAGATCTCTTTCTATTCACTTAAAAAAAGTAAAGCCATGGTCCCATATCGGCCATCCCCAACCCCAGCCATGGCTCCAGGTGGATGCTGCGAGGCTTTCAGCGTCTGAGATTGTGGATGCCTTGCAACAGTGGCTCGAGGCTCATGGACTTGAGGCTGGCTGCGCTAATTACCACGGGGGAATCGGAGAGCCGACTGCTGGATTTTGTCAAGAATTTCATACAAAAAAAACCACGATATTTCTACTATAACATACTATAACTACAATATCTATAGCTAATAGCAGCTAATATAATTACTACTATAGAATCAGAACCAATTACTTAATACTAATTGCCGTTGATAGGTGTGGCAGTTCTTAAAGGTTGGGTCTTGAAAACGCGCAGCTCAAAGGATTTACGCAGGCTACCCAGACAGAGTCCCAGCGACATCCCCCGACAGGTGTCCGCAGCCATGGATGGCTCCAGCGAGCCTTGGCACATGTTCCTTGGTACCATGGGTATTGATGGGTCGAACCGACCAACGTTGTGCCGCACTTCGCAGAGGGCAGATGTTGCCAGTAGCAATTCTTCTATTTGCGCGCAGTTGCAGATCTCAGAACTTTTCTCTTCTTGTCTTCTGCATCCTCCACTTTCTCACTGTCATCAGAATGATGATATTGATATATTATGTTTTTTTTTGACTTCTTGATGCTGCGCTCAAACTTAGCGCACTTTTCGTATACCTCATGCCCTCAGAAATTCTCGGGTGGGATGACTGCCTACTTCAATCTACTTCAACAATCATTCTCAAAAATTCTCGGAATGCTCACTCTCAGAAATCTTCAGCAGAAGGTGTGACTTTTGTGATTTTGTCCAGTGATTGGTCGCTCACATCTGAGGCCAGAGCTGGATGAGACCCGCTCGCTCCTCGCTTCGCATGAGCTCAGCACAGACTGGTCCCAGCGCTGTCGGCAAGCCGCAGGGAAGCTCTTCCAGAGGAGTAACCAGGTCACTTAGCAAACGACAAGCTGATATGTTGGACAAAATCAAAGTACATTCACCGGCCATCCAATTCAACCCATGAATCAACCAATTTTGTGGATATGAAAGTTGCCATTGCACCCGCTGGTTCCAGGTTTTGGAGCGCACCAAAATGTTGAAAGCGCAGCAAAAAGCTGGCATCGTAGCAGATGTTCTCAAAAGAGTCCGGGTGACTCTTGTGGTACACCAGGTATGTCGCTGGCAATTTCCTTTGGCTCAAGGAGAAACCAGAGATTTCCTGGAAACTGACGGACAGCGTTCGGTGAATCCCAAGCTCTTTCCGGTGAAAATGATGAAACCATTTGGATCTCCGAGGGTATTCAGAAAAAAAAGCCATGCTCACACTTCGCTGGAACCTTCAAATAGTTCTTTGTAGCGTTGCAGTTGCAGCATAGTGGCGTTCCAGATGCGAAGGGCACTGCATGATGGTGGATGAAGGCGAGAAGGGCAGGTGGATTGAATTGGGACTGGTAGAGATTGGAGTGGCTTCGGGCGGTAGGGGTGGCTATGCTCCTGTAAGTCCAGATAGTTGTGGGATTCTCAGATCTCGTTTGAACATTGTGCACTTGTGTCATTACCTTTTGACGAATGAGATTCAATGAGACAGACAGTCTTGTCGCGTTGGTTGTCCCACATTGGGCAAGAGGACTTCCAAGATGACCCAAGATGACCTGAAGATTTCGCCTTGAAGTTGGAGGAGGGGATGGCGCAATGAATTTTACACATGTGGACACTTCGGATGACGGATTTCCTGTGCTGCAGAGCGATTTTCATGCCATGTTAGCCAGACCAAACATGCGCCATTTCAACTGGCTTGGTGTCAATGACAGTTGGAATCAGTTGGAATCACTTGGAATCCGTTGGACGCTTACAACATCATCAATCATAAATATGATAACATCTTATATTAATCAATGAATATCAATGAATCTTATATTTTTATATGTCAGTTTTCTATAGTTTTCTTAGATTTGTTGGCCCATCCAGGTATTTTTTTCTGGGTTGTGTTTCTGCCCATCCGCTGTCAGCATCCGCTGACAGCATCCGCAGCGATGGTCGCAGCCATGGAGCCATGGTGAAAGGTGCATGTCATCCCAATGGTTCGATGCTTAGATTGCAGAAATCCTGAGAAATCCGGTCAAGATGGAATTGAATTTCAGTACTCAGTATATATAATATAATATATATATATACTGTGTATATCATTATATCCAGTAGATATTAGTAGATCTCAGTAGAGCTCAGTCGTTTTTACATGTCTGAGATTGAAACCTAGGGGCTTCAGCATTGCACAAATGTCGTGTCGACATGTGTCGCGCGCACAGCGACTTGGCCAATGCAGGCAGCAACTTCCAACGAGTTGCACGGCTGGATGCTGGGATCCCAGTGACAGTGGCAGGGTATTGTTATGTATTGCTGCTGAATCTGGGAGTGGATCAAAATTATGGGTGCACACCCACAGTTGTTTTTTTTGTTTTTTAGCCATCCATTTGGAGTGGACCATGACCCGAAGGTCGTGAACCGCGTGCGTCGACTCAGCGAAGTGGGCCTGCTGAAGGAGCGACCCAAGTGGCTGAATTGGTTGGGAAGCCAAGGATATGATAAAAGGAACGATGTCCTCCACATCTTTGTCAAATGTCAGAATGAACATGGAGGATAAACATCAGAATGTGTGAAAACGTGATTTGAACAGCTGCTAGTTGTCTCGATGATGATGATGATGATGATGGTGATGATGATGATGATGATGATGACGATGATGATGATGATGATGTTCATGCTTTTAGTGGCAATTTCGAGACTTTCAGAAGATGGTGTGCTGGCTTTGATAAGATAGGATCAATGGGTAGAGGCCCATGCTGATGGACACCTGACCACTTTATGTAGAGTGTGAGGCATGATCTGACTATTGTCTTGTTGAATTGTGTTGATCGAACCCTGGTACCCTGGTGAGAATGAACAGCGAAAAGTATGAACAATTGTTCTTCATTTATGGATGATTTCCTACTGTAAACTTCATTAACATCCATTTATAGTAGATTTTCCAGCCAGCCACGTTTGATTACCAGAGCGTATCAGTGTTGATCGAGGTGTGAGCGTGTGCCACCCATGGAGAACCACAACTTGCAGCTCCAGGCATTGCATGGGGCGAATTGTGGATCCTGCCTCCAAATGTTCAGCATGTAAAAAGGATTGCTTTTCTGGAAAGATAGATAGAACCAGAGTTAGAGATATTACTAGATCTTGTTCTCTTGAATTCTATCAGCATTTACTGATATTGTTACCAGCATCAGCTTGATGAACTTCTGAACAGCACTTCGAGCGAGCGACACTGCCAAAGTCACCTTGCCAGACGCGCACGGTTCGCAGCCCCTACCCACAGATGGTGCGGAGTCCTGGTCGGAGTGGTCGGAATTCCACGACAGTTCGTTCAGCTGAGGTGAACTTCCTGTTGAAGAAATATCCAGATCTTCGCTTTCAGGTGGCTTCAACTAGGCTTCAACCCAGACAAATTCTGACTTGTTCTGGTGTGAGAAGCTTGTCCTACGAACATGGCTTCGCAGGACTGCTATGTGGATGGCAACGACTGGTCTGCCGGAAATGATGCCTATAGGGATGACCATCCAGTGATGCAGTTCGTGGGAAAGCAGCTGGAGATCATGAGGATGGAAGGTACCTCAAAGAAGGAGGCACGTCGGGGGGGGCCTGCTGGAGAGGGTAGAATCTGCAGCATGGTCGCAGATTTTGGCATGGTTACTACATGTCACAACTATACGAGTAACGTACTCTAGTTTTTTTTCAGCAGTCAACCAAATGTGGAGTTGTGGGTATTCGTTCCAAAGCCACAGACCTGTTTCGTGCCAGCATCTGCTTGTCAAAAATAATGCTGAGACAGCGTCAAGCTCTGAGGCCTTTAAGAGGACTGAGGAGCACTTCAGAGAGAGGCAGTGGTGCTGATGATTTAAGCAGTTGCGAAATTCTTGACCCAGTGTCATACAAAAGCCAGATGACCCAATCATTGAAGATCCACCAAATCTACCTTAATAGTTTCTACGTAATCTGCCTCTGTCTGTGTCTGTGTTTGTTTGTCTGTCTGTCTTTGCTCAAAATCCAAAATGAAATGCCTGCAGCTCTCACTACCATCAGAGCGGAGTTTGGTGATTCGGCCCGTCGGATGCTCGGCAGCCGCGAGGCGACGGAACTTGGAGACAGAGCAGAAGCTGATGATGGCCATGGCTGTCAAGGCGGTACGGGAGCCCAGGCCGTGAAAAACGTGCCCATGCAATGCCCATGGCCGCGAATTTGATCTAAGGGATATCATGGGGGTGTAATATTCGGTGTAATATACCCTCTACACCTTAGTCTATAGTATTCTATACTGATACTGTAATGAGATCTTTGCAATGGATTGTGGAATGTTGTGGAAGTGGATCTACGCAATGGATAGGTTTGGAATGGAGGTGAAGGTCACCCTTTACTGCTGTCCAGTCACCGTTTCCGGTACCAAGGGCTTCCAGCCGATGTTCTGCACTGGCCGCGCCTACTTAGAGGCATGAGACCTCGGGGGTGGCAATGAATCTGGGCTTGTCCATGGGAGAAAAGCCCACCGAAATAGGTTTCGAGTGGGGAAAATGATGATGAACCACGATAAACCATGATAAAACATGATGAGCCATGATGAACCATGGACTTTTTGGGTACCTCTGTCTTCACACAAACCCATCTATTGCAGCGCTCAGCTGTGAGGTCGAGAAGGCCAGACTTGAAAGCACACACCTGAAGAAGATCATAGGCCTCGGAAGAAAGGATGTCGGATGATGTTGGATGGCCAATCCAGTGGGATGTTTGACTCAAAGAGTTCTTCGACCGGGCAGAATTTCAAATCAGGATTGCGTCCGTGACTGCCAGGTGTCCTTCGAAAAGAGTCTGCAGCTCTGCGACCCGCTGCGGGAGAGGCGCTTATTCCTGTGCAGGATCCGAAGGGCGACCTCCCAAACTTTATGGTTGCCAGATATGGCTGAAGAAGCAACTCAAATAAAAAGTGGCCTCATGTTTCGTTGATAAGAACCATTGTTTCAGGCAGATGCTCAAAGGAACATCAAGCCGTTGCGAATGCGACAGGTGCAACAGTTCCGACATCGAGTCGTTGAGGAAAAAGTCTTCCGAGCCTTCGTTCAGGTGCGGATTGGATCCGGGGGAGTTCAATTGGCGGAGCTGATCTCCAGTAATCCGTCCGGTGTCCATTGATGCCACGAAATGCTGGGAAGCTGCTGCATCCATCAATTCCGAGCCAATGTCCGTGGGAGACTTGGGTCGGAATCCCCAACTGGGCAACTGTGTCGCAGGAACCTCCAACTCCGGAAGCTGATGACGAGGTCCGGTTTTGGTCGAGATGGCATGTGGTACTGTGTATTGTTGGCGTGGGCTCCCTGATTCAGCTGCTTTATGAGGCCCAGGAGGACAAGAGCGGGCCGAACATTTTTCATGGCCCCTTAACCACTCACAAGAAATACGCAAGAGGAGCGATGCCCTATCCTACCAGCTGTTACATATCTCTGCAAGGCGCTCCAACGCTTCGCAGATTCATTGGAAAGGAAACAGGAGGTCCACGGCTTAGAGATCCGATAGCGAGATCTAGCCTGTCCTGGCTCGACATGGAAAACTGACATAGAAATGGCATGGAATTGCATGGAATGGCCATGCCTTGCCATAGGTCACCCTTGATTGGACATGCTTTGGACATGCTTAGGAGATTCTTAGATATGTTCAGTTGTGATCACTGATTAATTGAAAACATGGAATCAGTCATTGCAAGGAGAAGGATGAACAGACGACATCCAAAGAGACACCTCAGAAGGAGCGATTTGCTGGACTATGACTTTAACAAGAAACACGGCTGTGAAATGTCGGAAGACACTGTCAGCCAGCATTCTATCAAGAGTTCTAAAGGTCATTGTAACGAGTTATGTTTGGGAAGAACAACATATATGATATCTTTTACTTTTACACTAATATTTTCGCGAAAGTTGCGTGAAGGAACGGGTAAAGGTGACAGTCCGTTTTGAAGGGGGTGGCCCCGGGGTAAGCCTTACAAATATAACCAACAAGCAACAATCTATCCTGAGAAGGGGTTCTGTGATGCTGGCTGCATGTTTGCAAGGCTACCATGAAGGAATTTATGATAATTTGGCAGGTAATGATTGAGACTTCAAAAGAGGCATTGTTGCCCCACATGGGTCCCGCGACAGATAAACATGGAGTTTGCGAAAGTTTCGTGAAACTAAACTTTAGTTCGCGAATCTTCGCGAGGATGAATGAATTTAGACCAACCGTATGTATATATATATAATATACAAAATATATACTAAACAATAATATATATAGTTTAATATAATATATATGATGTATAATATATATATATACAGTACATGCTATATAATATAATATAAATATATATTATTACTATTCTAATCTAATATATATATACACACTATAATACATGTAATATATAATATATAATATAATATACGATGATTATAATTATAATTGTAATTATAATTTTAACTATAACATAACATAATACAATACACTATAATATGATATAATATGTAATATGATATAATATGTAATATCATATGTATATAATATGTATATAATATGTATATAATATGCATATAATATGTATATAATATGTATATAAGATGTATATAATATGAATATAATATGTATATAATAAGCATATAATATGTATATAATATGTATATATTATGTATATAATATGAATATAATATGTATATAACATGTATACAATATGTATATAATATGTATATAATATGCTGCATATAATCTGTATATAAGATGTATATAATATATAACATACGTATGATATGTAAATATATATATATATAATATATACACTATATATATATTATATCTAATCTCATAATATATATATATATAGTGTATATATATATATGTATAGCCTCGTCCCAGGTCCTAGAACTGCGCAAACCCGAATTAGGTTGGTAAAACTTGTCAAGTCCGTGACGAAATTTCGTGGCGGAATTGACAAGTTTCATTAGGGTCATCATCATCATCATCATCATTATCATCATCATCATCATCATCATCAGCATTAGTATCATCATCATCTGCAAGTTCACATGAACGTTAACATCCCACCCCATCCCCCCCCCACCCCACCCCGCGTGTGCGTAGCATCAACTGCTCCTGCAAGTTCACATGAACGTTAACATCCCACCCCATCCCCCCACCGCATCGTATGTAGTTCCAGGACTTGGGACGAGCCTATATATACATATATATATACATATACGCATACGGTTATATATGTTTGTGACTATTTTCAAGTCTGGTCAGATGTTTCTCTACACTAGGATCACAAGGAGTGTTGCCGCTACACATTCGACTCTCTATGCAAACCCTGGATTTCATTTTTATGGACGAACCCCCATTGCCATTTTGTGACGATGTGTAAGAAACGGTTCCATCTCCTCTTGTCGATCCTGCAGGCCATGCAACAACAGGCCGTGACCACAGAGAATTGCCAGTGCACTTTTTCATCGTCGCGGCTGACCCGAACCATTTCGAACCTCACAGCTGATTCTCTGAGGAAACAATAGATCAAGAAGAGGAGAACATCGGAACTTGATCACGATTGGTGTCATGGATGCACCAGTGAGCTTTGTTTGTGATCACGGCCAGGAGAAAGCGCTGCCTGAGGACACAACCATGCCAGACAAGGATGAGAAAGAGAGCTCATACAGTTTGACTGGCAGAGCTCAATCAGGCACAGCATATTACAGCATTGTCCAGACATCGGTGGAACGAACGATTGTCAGATTGCAATTAGGGAATTCCAAGAGTTTCTGTTTCGTGAGCGACATAGCTTCAGGGCCAATGGATTGCTTGAAACATTTGAAACTTTCAGGTGAGAACTAAGCATTTCGTTGACAGCTTCATGAGAGGAAAGAGACGAAGTATATAGGTTGACTTATCCGCGTTTATCCGTGTTTGCCCATGACAGTCTGGAGCATGTTCAGAAGAAGACAATTCAACACCATCGAGGGAATATCTCGCCGGAGCAGGGACGGTCATCCCAACATATCCCAACTTTGATTTGGAGGTCGTAAAATGGATATCAAAATGACCATTATTTTCTGTGTTTGCCACAGATATTAATCTAAATGTGTTTTTGGTCTAGTCCATGATAATCCTGTATCAATGTGTTTCTTGCTATCCTTGATTTATAGATGATGTATAGAGGTTTTAGTATAGATTCATAGTATCATTTATAGTTTATTGATGTTTATTGATGTTTACTATAGATGATGTCTATTGATAAACCTATGTATATTTATAGATTACAATGATGTTTATGTATATATAGAGGTTTTAGTATAGATTCATTTATAGATTTATACTTCCATTTATAGATGATGTATATATATATATGCAAGTTCCACTTGGCTCATTCATCGTAGCCATGACTCATTCGCAGTCCTTTTGGAGGCTGAAGAAACAGGAACGCCGCTCAGTAGCGCTTTGCCCTACCTAAGGCATAAGTTCCAGGTGCAGTCCATAAGTCTTGGGCGTCAACAGGGTGTTTTCCGCCTGCACGGTAGCGGAGCCCTCTCAAGGGGGGCGTAAAGCTTGTTTAGATCCAGGGATAGCAGTAGCCCCAATCGCGAGTGCCATTTGGGGAAAGCATGGCGGAGAAGTCGATGAAATACATCGAGCGTAGCAAAGATGGGGTACCGCAATGGGATGGTGATGCAACTACCTTCCAGGAGTACTCAGAGCTTGCCAGTCACTGGCAGGAATCCATTCCCTACCACAAGCGGTACCTTTGCGGACCACGTCTGCAAGCAGAGTTGTCGGGCACAGCCAGAAGGTTTGTCCAGGCCAAACAGCCTGGATGGATTTCCCATCCAAATGGGGTGGATACGCTTCTCCAGCACCTCAGGCAGAACTTGGGACAGCCCCAGCTCTCAGAGATGGCGGAGTACCTTGCAAAGTACTTCAAACAGTCGAAGAGACGTCGACACGAGTCCATGAACGACTACATCACAAGGAAAGCAGAGCTGTACTCAAGGGCATGTCAGACCTTGGGAAGACTGCAGAAGCGGTATGAACCACGAGGCTCAGAAGCACGAGGTTCAACTACCTCAACACAACCAGCACCACAGCCATCGACTCCGGCGCTGACCAACGACCAGGAGCAGCAGGAACCGGATGGCACCGAATCCGAGCACTCGGAGTACCATGAGGCCGAGAATGAGCCAAACCCAGGCAATGATGGCTGGGAAGGATGGTGGCAGCAAGATCATCGCCAACACTGGAGGCAATCTCAGGATTGGTGGGGATGGAATGACCCATGGAGTCAGTGGACGAACACTGCCTCAGTGGGAGCATCCAGCCAGTGGGATCGAGATGAAGCTGCTCTTCTACCAGATTTTGTGCAAGGATGGCTCCTTCTCCAGGACTCTGGACTTGAGACCTCGGAACGGAACAACATCCTCTCTGCCCTGAAGGGAAACTTCTCTCTTAGCAGGGTGGCGCAGGAGTTGCGCAACCAGTGGCAAGATGATGACATCAAGAAGCGAGATGGAGGTGGACGTTCCGCAGCGTGGTGTGCGGACTATGAGGACGGTGCCTTCATGGGAGACATGGAGGGTCAGTATGAAAGTCCTGACTGGGCATACCTGACCATGGCTGGTCTCTCTGAGGATGGGTTTGCCATCTTGGAGGAGACGGATGCATCAGCACATGAGGCCCTGGCAGCCATCGAACGAGGCCGCCGAACACTCAGAGAAGCCCGAGAAAAGCAACATCAGGTGAAAATGAACCGTCAGTTCTACTCATCACGACCTTGGCCACGACGCCAACTACAGGCTCGACAAGATGCACCAGGGACAAGATCTATTACATGTTTGAGGTGTGGAGGCCCACATCGTGCCGACGAGTGCCCCAAGAAGGACTCCAAGGCCATGGTGACTCGCACCGAAGAGGCTCCTTTTGTGTGTTTTGCAGAGGACCAGGCCGCACAGGCAGCATGCGTCTCAGAAGAACAAGACCGAGCACTGGCAGTGACGACCCAGGAAGCAATGGAGCAAGGCAAAGCCGTCATCGACGGCGGAGCAACCCGAACCTTGGCTTCCGTCGCTGCGTTGGAAAAGATCATGGAGATCAACTCGAACACCAAGGGTGAGACGGGCCTCCATCGACTTGATCCTGAACTGAGGCCGACGTTTGGGTTCGGAAACTCATCCAGTGACCAATGTTTGTCAACCGCTTGGATGAAGATTTCTGCTGGAGGTCGCAATGGTCAACTGAAGATTCATGCTCTTGACAAGGGTTCTGGTCCTGTGCTTTTTTCTGTGGAAACCTTGCGATCACTAGGAGCAGTCATAGACTTTTCAGAGGATCTCATTGTCTTTAGACAGCTGGATCCCACCCGTGTGATCAAGATGGAACGTTCCTGTACAGGCCACCAACTTCTTCCCATGACTGAGGACTGGTTTCAGAATGCAAGCCAAGCCAGTTCACCGGTCCCTAGCTTGAAGCAGTATATCTAGGGACAACTCCTCTCTGAACCACCGTCTGCGGGTGAAAGAGAGGGCAAAGAATCGAGTGCAGACAATCAGAAACCAACTGAACCATGTCAAAATCTTGTTGATGGCAAAGTGTTTGAGGGTTTTTTATTTGAATGTGACACGATCAAGGACCAAAGAGCTGATTCCCACACACACGTGCCACATGAACATACATACCATCACCAGACACCAGTTTCCACACTCACAGCTTCAGCAGTCACACTCACAACAACTGCAGCGCTTGGAGATCGAGATCAAAGTGAACCCTCGTCCACATCATTCTTGACGTGCGAGTCTACCAGCCATGCCGTCGATGACCAAGACCGAAGCTCTGATCGAGCTGGCCCGCCTGGGAGAGCTCCCTCCCAAGGATTGGTCGGCCATGGAAGTGATTCAGCGCATGGAGGAAGTCCGCATCTCCAAGGGGCTTCACCCCAATCCAAAGCACAAGGAGGCCACTCCCTTGCGCAAGATGGTGATCAAGCTCAACGAAGCAGCCCGCAAGAAGGACCACCTACGAGAGTTTGCCGCGAGCCTGGGAGTCCCTCTGACAGGCAACGACACCATTCCTTCCCTGCAGAAGAAGACTCTGATGGCCATCTACGACCATGCGGCAGTCAGCTCCGAGGATCCGGTGGGATTCGGCAAGTACGCATCGCTGACTTACCAGGAGCTCTACCAGAAGGATGCCCAGTACATGCAGTGGGTGCTCAACACGGCGCAAGAGGGCAACTGCGATGCCCGACTGAGCCGTTTGGCCCGTTGGTGTCAGAACATCAACAGCAACCAGAAGGCTCAGAACGAGCAGAACCTGAACGAAGATCCAGCAATTCCGTTGTCAGTGCTGATCAACAAGGGATACCTCAAGGCGTCTCAGATTCCCAAGCTGGAAGAGACATCAGTGATCTCTGGCGCATCCGGGAGTGCCACATCTTCCCAGATAGCAGCCACGAATGCCATGATCCAGCAACTGGCATCGACAGTTCTCGACCTGAAGGAGGAGATCCAAGACATGAAGGAGCACCGTGGTGCCCGCAAGGAGCCGAAGATCAAGACCGACTCCAGCGAGAGCTTCAGCATGTTGAGCGAGGCGTAGGTGAACAAGGTCTACTGAGCTGTTCTGAGCCTAGTAACATAGTTCTGTCCGAAACCTCAGAAATAGGCCAGGAACCTAGTTCATGCTGCAAGCTTAGTGCCAGCCAGGCTAGGAACTTAGAGCAACGTGTTGCCAGGATCATGCCAGAGGCCTACATGAACTTGAGGTCAACAGAACAAACTGTCCTTGTTGAGATTGCGTGTAGTCAAGACAGCGTTTTGAGCAACACCATGCGCCAACTGACTGGTAAAGACAGTTCTAGCAAAAGGTTGTCCATTTGGAATCAGTATGATCTCACAGTTGGCGCTGGAGTGAAATCAATTCTAGATGAGATTGACCAGTCGCGACCTCAGCATGTTTGGTTGTCCCCAGACTGTGGACCTTACAGTCCCATGCAGAACATAAATCAACGTTCCCCAGAGCAGATTCAGGCTCTACAGGAAAAACGACGCTATGCCTTGAAGCAGTATGTGGGATGTGCCATCATTTTTCATTACTGTGCTCAAAGGGGAATCGACGTGACTTGGGAACTTTCACAACACTGTCATGCATGGAGACTGCCTATCCTTCAACGACTCATCAGTAAATACCAGTTGGGACATGCTGTGATTCGAGGTTGTCAGGTAGGACTAAAGGATCCACATGGAGCACTTGTGTCCAAGGGTTGGAAAATCATCTCAACAAACCGGCTGTTGCTGTCACGTATGGATTTGCCATGTAGATGTAGCCCAAACACGAAACATGTGGGTTGTGAAGGTAACCTGACAAAGAAGTCAGCCTTGTATACTCCTGCGTTTGGGAAGCGTGTGTGTGAAGCAATTCTCCAGGGTATTTCCGAAGGGGAACTTAGGAACAAGCTGACCGGTCACGAACCACCAAAGGGATCTTTCGGAGAAGGGTTACACTGCGTTTGTCATGAAGGCCATGTTCATGAGGCTCAGGTGACATGTGGTTACTGTTCTGAGGGTTGCATGAAGGATCATGATGTTCATGATATCATGGGTACTCAAGAAGTGGATTCGAAAGAGAGAGAGAGAATCAGGAAAAAACTGTACTTACTTCATGCTGCCACTGGTCACGGTCCCCTGAAGTATCTGGTTCGTACCATCCAACAAGGAAATTTCCCTGAACATGTGTTGGAGGAAGCCCGGAAATTCAAGTGTGATGTTTGTCAAGAGCATAGTTCCCCTAATCCCAGAAATCTGGCCACTCTGGAACCACAGCCACCAAAGTTTGCCACCGTGTCGGCCGATGTTGGACACTGGTATCATCCCAAGAGTAAGGAAAAATGGCAGTTTTTGATTTTTGTTGATGAGGGTTCAAAATTTAGAGTGGCTCGCATGATAAATCAGGGTCAGCGCAAACACATTTCCGCAGGTCAATTTTTGTCTCAACTCAGAGAAGCGTGGATATCCTATTTTGGAACACCACACACCCTCCGGTTAGATCCGGACGGTGCCTTTCGTAGTCATGAGATTTCGGAGTTTTGTGATCAACAAGGGATATTTCTGGATATTATCCCCGGAGAGGCACACTGGAAGCTGAATTCATGCGAAAGAAGCATCGAGTCAATCAAGTATCTGCTGGAGAAAATAGTGACTGACCATCCAGATGTTTCAGCTCCGGATGCCCTGTCTGACAGCATCCGCATTCTCAACTCCAAGGATAACATCCGAGGCCACTCTCCACTGCAACATGTCATGGGCAGAACACCGGACGTGGCCGGTAGGTTTTTTTCTACCGTAGACCCATCATGCCCGGAATTGACATGCTTGGAGCCGAGGGCCATGCAACAGGAAAACTGGGAAAGAATGGCAACAGCAGAGAAAGCCTTGATCGATTGGCAGTGTCAACAGCGTATCTCAAGAGCAACAAACTCACGACACCGACAGGTTTTGGACTTTTCAGCAGGAGATTTGGTGTATATTTGGAGAAAACAATTGACCGGCCAAGATGCAGGTCAGAACAAACAAGGCTCAGGCCGATTTGTGGGTCCAGCCCGCATCCTAGCCACTGAGATGAAAAGAGACGATCAAGGTGAACTCCAGCGTGGAAGCTCAATCTGGCTGGTTCGAGGCAGGCGGCTCATTAAATGTTGTGCTGAACAACTCAGACATGCCACGGACAAGGAGCACATCATCCATGACCTGCACCAACCAGATCAGCAGCCATGGACATTTCCAAAGGTTGCCGAAGAACTGGGCGGCACCGAGTTTGATGATTACACGGAGGCTCTCACAGAGATGGAATGGGAGCGGAATGGGAGCGTGCCAGAGATCCAGACTCAGAATGGCAGCCAATCCACCGTTTTCGTATGAAGAGAACACCAACAGTGGCTGACATGAGACCCGCTCAAGTGCCAAGGACCTCTCCGGGCCCCTATGACATCAACAATCCCGACAGTAGCAACGCTGCTGCAATGCCACGCAGGGCAGAAAGAAGCAGATCACCTACCAGTGGATCACGTGCAGGGCCTTCGTCGGGCTTTCATGCAGCACCACACTGGAGTGATCACGTACAAGACTCCTTCTTTGTGGAGGAGGCTAGCCAGGGAAAAACAATCTGGAAGAAAGAGGGGGCCGCTGTGGAGGTAGCTATTGAGTTTCCAGGAAGTAGAAGTAGTGCTGAGAGAGCTCTTCAAGACTTACCAGCTTTCTTTACTGCAGCCATGAAAAGAAAATCAGTTGAGGTATGCGAACGAAAACTGACATCAGAGCAACTGAAAGAATTCCGCAGCGCGAAAGCAGTGGAAGTATCAAATTTTCTGGCCGCAAAGGCATTTGAAGCACTACCACCAGAGTACCGGGCGGACAAGACACAGGCAGTCCGAATGAGGTGGATCCTCACTTGGAAACTACGAGAAGACGGAACACAGAAGGCCAAGGCAAGAGCAGTGCTTTTGGGATATCAAGATCCTCTCTATGAGCATCGTGCCACAGCCAGCCCAACAACAACAAGGCAAACCCGGCAGTTACAATTGCAGATAGCAGCAGGCATGAATTGGCAGACACGCAAAGGCGATGTGAGTGGGGCCTTTCTGCAAGGCCGAGAATATCCAGGTGAGCTGCTATGCATCCCTTGCGAGGAAATCTGCGTGGCAATGGGTTTACCACCCAACTCTGTAACAAGAGTGAAACGGGCATGTTATGGCCTAGTGGACGCTCCCTTGGAGTGGTACCGCTCCATCTGCGACTTCTTTGGCCGCATTGGCTTGAGGAGATGCTGGGCTGATCCATGTAGCTGGATACTGGTGAAAGAGAATAAACTCCATGGAATCATATCAGGTCACGTTGATGATTTCCTGTTTTCAGGTTCTGATGAGGACCCAGTATGGATCAAAACCATCGAGCAGATCAAGCAACAATATCGCTGGGGAGACTGGGAACAAGATCGCTTCACCCAATGTGGAGTTCAAGTTGAGAGAGATCAGAAAGGAGGATATGCTCTGTCACAAGAAAGGTACGTAGAAGGCATCAAACATATAAACATCCGAGCACATCGGCGCAAAGAACGCCATGCAGAGACGGATGATTTTGAAAAGTCACAGCTCCGAGCGTTGCTAGGAGCTATCAGCTGGCACGCCCAACAAGTGGCGCCGCATTTTTCCGCAGAGGTGGGACTCATGCTTTCAGAAGTGAACAAAAGTTGTGTTGACACCCTGATGAGAGCAAACCACCTCTTAGACCAGGTCAAAGGCATGAAGGATCATAAACTGCTGATCCACCCTATTCCTGTAGAAGAGATAGGCCTTTTCGCATGGGTTGATGCAGCGTCTCAGAACCGCATTGATGGCGGAAGTACCCAAGGAATCTGCATTGGTGTAGCTTCCAAACGTTTGTTGCAAGGGCAGTGCACTGAGGTGAGTCTGGTAGCCTGGCACTCTTCAAAAATCAGTAGAGTTTGTTCTAGTCCTGGTGCTAGTGAAGCTGTTGCTGCTGTTAATGGGGAAGACCTTTTGTTTTTCGCTCGGTTTCAATTGTCGGAGTTGTTGGGGTACCCTGTTAATATTCGAAATGTTCATGAGACTGTGAATCACATCAGTGGCTGCGTAATAACTGATAGCCGTAATGTGTATGACAAGCTTTCTGGAGATGTCGTTGTGGCCAAAGGCGCTGAACGACGAACGGACATAGATCTCATGCGGTTGAAGGAATCACAAGTGGTCAATGAAGTCATACTGAGGTGGGTCAATTCGGATGCCCAGTTGGGAAATGGCTTGACTAAGGCAAAAGAACTAAGGCAATTTCACATGTTCTACCGCATGCGACAATGTTGGCGAATCGTCGAGGACGACACAATGTCTTCGGCACGAAAGCGCAAGCAGAAGGGACAACAGCCCCTTGAACAAAACATACACCCTCCGTGCACACAAACGCACTGTGACCATAGAATCAATGATTTGGGAATTGATAGTGTGGTCCCCACCGCTGTTGCTGCTCAGTGATTGTTGTTTTTTTTTCCGGTTGTTTTTGTTGTTTGGTGGTGCTGTGTTTTTCCGTCATTTTGACATGAGTTCGGAGGGAAGAAGGTGGCATGCAAGTTCCACTTGGCTCATTCATCGTAGCCATGACTCATTCGCAGTCCTTTTGGAGGCTGAAGAAACAGGAACGCCGCTCAGTAGCGCTTTGCCCTACCTAAGGCATAAGTTCCAGGTGCAGTCCATAAGTCTTGGGCGTCAACAGGGTGTTTTCCGCCTGCATATATATATATATATAGTATCATAGGTTATTGATGGCTATTGAATCATTTATAGTCCATGATTCAATGACTCCAGGGCCAAAAGAACAGGAGCGAGCCCTGGGACCCAGCCATAGCAGCCATGGGACTTGCCTGCGGATGATTTTGGGGAGCATTAAAACCTTCAAAAACCAACCAAAAACCGGAAAAAAAAGGCTTTTGGAGGGTTTTGGATGGTGGCTTTTGATCAATTTTGGATGATTTAAAGGGGTAAAAACATGTAAAAACCCATTGTCCAAATTTGATCATCAAGAAAAAGGTGCTGAGACTCGGTCCCCGAGGTCCATCGGATGTAGTCCTGTCACGTCAAACATTTCGCAACGAAGGGGAAGGAAACGAGAAGCAACACACCGACGAAATGGGCCTTGTCAGCAAAATCCCAGGCTTTCCAAAAATCATCAAAATCCCACAAAGTGGGGCCCCCAAACGATAGCTAAGTTGGTTTATAACTCCAATAACTATGGTTTATGGTACTTATAACTATAGTTACCGGGGCTTATAAAAACCAACTTATAACTGGGGGGCCCCACATTGCAGGGTTTATCACCACTTCCATCAGTAAAATGGTCATAACTGGGAGGCGAATCCCCTGCATGAAGTGCCTGCCCCTCAGGCCAATCAGGTCACCAAGATGCTAAGCAAAAAGAGGTGAGGAGCATATTTGGGTTTCTGCAAAAGAACCTGGAACATGAGCTGGCTATATATATATACACATACATACACACACAAATACATACATACATACATACATATATATATATTTATTTATACATGGCTACAGATGGCTATAGAATCTATAGATGGCTACAGGGGATTCAGTTTGTGAGTATTGGGCGCGCTGGAAATTTTCATTGAAGCAGTCAGTTCAGCCCCTTTTTCTTTCCCTTGAATCGCTGAACATGCATCGGAAGTTGTTCGATGAAGTTGTTGGCGCAAAGTGTGGTAGAAAATACCAGCTGGCACTATATAGATGGACAATAGATGTTGAAGACATGTTGCAAAACCGTGAGCGTTTTTCATGACTTGGAGTATCATAAGGTGCATGTGTTTGTGATTCAAAATTCAACAAAGGCTTGATACCTCACACCACGCTTTCTAAGATACCATATTCAGACATGTGTAGTTATGCAAGTAATGTAAGGTGTAATGTGACATCACATTGAAATTGAAACATAGAACGCACAATATTGCACTGGAAGTGTGGTATTTCTGTCATGCCCATGATGCACCAGGCAAAGTATGGAAGACGACGAGGCTAGCCGCTCCTGTGCTGGAAGTTCTGTCACTTTGAAATCTGTGTAAAGTGCTGCTTTGTACAAGCTGTTCTTCTAAGCCAGCATCATCCTACGAAAGCATTTATAACTCATATATGTATATATATATATATATAATAATTTACTTTTGTGCTGAAACCAGCCGGTCATTGTGGCATTTTGGACACAGAGGCATCACTTAATGTCACATTTGGAAGGGGCTCACTGCACAGCTTCGGCCAAAAAAGGGCCTTTGGGGCCTTTGGGGCCTTTGGGGCCTTTGCCATCGTCAACTGTTCATAAACGAATCACATGCTGAAAAACTATTCATGTGTTGCAGTCTTCCGTTTCGATTATGTCTGAGATTGAAGGACCTAGAGTCTTGGCAATGCAGCAAGACCATCATTATCTTCGATGAGCGCTTGACTCACTGTGGTTGAAACACATCTACAGGAGAGTGATGAAGGTGATGGAGACAGCGAAGAGAGGGAGAGGCACTGCAAGGGGCCGAAGCCCGACTTGACGTGCCGGGTCGTTGGTTTGTCGTTGATTATTGGTTGGTCGTTGGTTGGTCATTGAGTTCCTCAAGCACCTGATTCCTTCTGGATCATTTGTGTGCCATGTCATGTTGGTTCCAAGCGATTTTCAAGCAATTTCTCCATCCATTTTGGTCCAACACATTTCAAATGTGGCAGGAAACGAGTAGCTGGGGATGTCGATTGACCTCTGGTGAGCAGCTTATGAGTAGCGCGCAGATTCAGGTGTTTCCACCTGTCCCAACGTCATGGAGATGTGGGTTTGTCTGAAAATGGGGTATATCCCCAAGTATGGCCATTGTACTATATTGTGCTAGGGAAAATTATTATTTGAATCTATTTTAATCTATTATATATTTTTTGGATTTAAGGGTAACCCATGACATGAAGCGCAATGCTGGCGACCTGGTCCACTTAGGATACGTCACGACCGATGCGACCTCCGCCCGAATGCGCTGGGGGCACGAAATAGGGGCTGCAGATGCTGCTCTGTCAGACTTTAAATTCACTCCGTGTGGCAAAACCAGTTGATTGAAGTGAGATGGGAGGAGTGTTGGAGTGTGAAGCATACCAAATGTTATTTCCGTAGTCCAAATTTGCAAGATAGGACAACGCCTTTTCTGAAGACAAGACCTTGGGCGAGGCGACCGGGTTCATGAACATGAGCAGTGGGATGCAATCTTGCTGTAACTTCCTCTTGATTGCAGTCAAAGAGCATTTGCATTTGGATAAATAGTGGGTTTCTTATCAACTTCTGGGTGGTGACCTTGTTGTCTTCAAAGTCCGGAATCTTTGTATGTCATTTTGGATGTCCGGTACCTTTGTATCAACTTGGCATCTGAAGCTCTGATACCTTTGCACAACTTTGTGTTGAAATCCCGCCACCTCTGGATTACATTGTTTTTCCAGTTATCATTATTCTGAGAGTCTGGCACGTTTGTATCACCTTGTCTTGTTGGAAGTTTGATACCTTTGTCTGACCTTGTTACGAAAGCCAGCCGGGAAGCTGGCTAGTTGCTATTTGCGAACGAAGTGAGAATAGGGGGTCTGGGGGGGGGGTAGTTGCCAAATGGGTCAAAAATCGGGAAAATAGGTGGAAAAAAATGGCGGCCGCTAGTATGGTTTTGCAGGGTAATGTACCGGCAAAACAGTGACGGTGGGTATCGATTCCCCCTAGGTCCGGTTTTCTGGGGTTTTGTGGGCTCAGTCAATGGACAATGGACAGATAGATGGGCCAGCTAGTTAGAGGAGATTGGAGAGAGAAGGAAATTGGATGAAAAGTCTGTGCAAGAAGAGTTTCTGGTTGAAGAGTCTCGGGGTGAAAAGTATATGGGTGAAAAGTATGTGTAATAAGAGTTTCTGGGTGAAGAGTCTCTGGGTGAAAAGTATATGGGTGAAAAGTATGTGCAAGAAGAGTTTCTGGGTGAAGAGTCTCTGGGTGAAAAGTATATTGGTAAAAAGTATGTGCAAGAAGAGTTTCTGGGTGAAGAGTCTCTGGGTGAAAAGTATGTGGGTGAAAGGATGTGCAAGAAGAGTTTCTGGGTAAAAAGTATATGGGTGAAAAGTATGTGCAAGAAGATTTTCTGGGTGAAAAGTATATTGGTAAAAAGTATGTGCAAGAATGGTTTCTGGGTGAAGAGCCTCTGGGTTATTCGTATATGGGTGAAAAGTATGTGCAAGAAGAGTTTCTGGGTGAAGAGTCTCTGTATGGGTGAAAAGTATGTGCAAGAAGAGTTTCTGGGTGAAGAGTCTATGGGTGAAAAATCTGTGCAAAAAGAGATTCTGGGTGAAGAGTCGCTGGGTGAAAAGTATTTGGGTGAAAAGTATGTGCAAGAAGAGTTTCTGGGTGAAGAGTTTCTGGGTGAAAAGTATATGGGTGAAAAGTATGGGAAAAAAGAGTTTACGAGTGAAAAGTATGTGCAAGAAGAGTTTCTGGGTGAAGAGTCTCTGGGACTCTGGGTGAAGATTCTCTGGGTGAAAAGTATATGAGTGAAAAGTATATGGGTCAAAAGTCTGTGCAAGAAGAGTTTCTGGGTGAAGAGTCTCTGGGTGAAAAGTATATGGATGAAAAATATGCGCAAGAAGAGTTTCTGGTTGAAGAGTCTCGGGGTGAAAAGTATATTGGTGAAAAGTATGTGCAAGAAGAGTTTCTGGGTGAAGAGTCTCTGGGTAAAAATTATATGGGTGAAAAGTATGTGCAAGAAGAGTTTCTGGGTGAAGAGTCTCTGGCTGAAATGTCTGTGCAAGAAGAGTTTCTGGGTGAAAAGTATTTGGGTGAAAAGTATGTGCAAGAAGAGTTTCTGGGTGAAGAGTCTCTGGATGAAAAGGGTGAAAAGTATGTGCAAGAAGAGTTTCTGGGTGAAGAGCCTCTGGGTGAAAAGTATATGGGTGAAAAGTATGTGCAAGAAGAGTTTCTGGGTGAAGAGTCTGTGGGTGAAAAGTTTATGGGTGAAAAGTATGTGCAAGAAGAGTTTCTGGGTGAAGAGTCTCTGGGCGAAAAGTATATGGGTGAAAACTATGTGCAAGAAGAGTTTCTTGGTGAAGAGTCTATGGGTGAAACGTATATGGTGAATAAGTATGTGCAAGAAGAGTCTCTAGGTGAAAAGTATCTGGGTGAAATGTCTGTGCAAGAAGAGTTTCTGGGTGAAGAGTCTCTGGGTGAAAAGTATATGGGTGAAGAGTATGTGCAAGAAGTGTTTCTGGGTGAAGAGTCTCTGGATGAAAAGTATATGAGTGAAAAGTATGTGCAAGAAGAGTTTCTGGGTGAAGAGTCTATGGGTGAAAATATGTGGGTGAAAATTATTTATAAGAAGAGTTTCTGGGTGAAGAGTCTCTGGGTGAAAAGTATATGGGTGAAAAGTATGTGCAAGAAGAGTTTCTGGGTGAAAAGTATGTGCAAGAAGAGTTTCTGGGTGAAGAGTCTCTGGATGAAAAGTATATGGGTGAAAAGTATGTGCAAGAAGAGTTTCTGGGTGAAGATTTTCTGGGTAAAAAGTATATGGGTGAAAAGTATGTGCAAGAAGAGTCTCTTGGTGAAAAGTATATGGGTGAAAAGTATGTGCAAGAAGAGTTTCTGGGTGAAGAGTCTCTAGGTGAAAAATATATGGGTGAAAAGCATGTGCAAGAAGAGTTTCTGGGTGATAAGTATGTGCAAGAAGAGTTTCTGGGTGAAGAGTCTCTGGGTGAAAAGTATATGGGTGAAAAGTATGTGCAGGAAGAGTTTCTGGGTGAAGAGTCTCTGGGTGAAAAGTATATGGGAGAAAAGTATGTGCAAGAAGAGTTTCTTGGTGAAGAGTCTCTGGGTGAAAAGTATATGGGTGAAAGGTATGTGCAAGAAGAGTTTCTTGGTGAAGAGTCTATGGGTGAAAAGTATGTGGGTGAAAAGTATTTGCAAGAAGAGGTTTCTGGGTAAAAAGTATATGGGTGAAAAGCATGTGCAAGAAGAGTTTCTGGGCGAAAAGTATGTGCAAGAAGAGTTTCTGGGCGAAGAGTCCCTGGGTGAAAAGTATATGGGTGAAAAGTATGTGCAAGAAGAGTTTCTGGGGGAAGAGTCTCTGGGTAAAAAGTATATGGGTCAAAAGTATGTGCAAGAAGAGTTTCTGGGTGAAGAGTCTCTGGGTGAAAAGTATATGGGCGAAAAGTATTTGCAAGAAGAGTTTCTGGGTGAAGAGTCTCTGGGTGAAAAGTATGTGGGTGAAAAGTATGTGCAAGAAGAGTTTCTGGGTGAAGAGTCTCTGGGTGAAAAGTATATGTGTGAAAAGTATGTGCGAGAAGAGTTTCTGGGTGAAGAGTCTCTGGGTGAAAAGTATATGGGTGAAAAGTATGTGCAAGAAGAGTTTCTGGGTGAAGAGTCTCTGGGTAAAAGTAATGGATAAAAGCCTGCCAGAGAGTTTCTCTGGGTGCAGATTCCGCTGGGCGAAAGTATATGGGTGAAAAGTATGTGCAAGAAGAGTTTCTGGTGAAGAGTCTCTGGGTAACAAAAGTATATGGGTTAAAAGTATGTGCAAGAAGAGTTTCTGGGTGAAGAGTCTCTGGGTGAAAAGTATGTGCAAGAAGGGTTTCTGGGTGAAGAGTCTCTGGGTGAAAAGTATATGGGTGAAAAGTATGTGCAAGAAGAGTTTCTGGGTGAAGAGTCTCTGGGTGAAAAGTATGTGCAAGAAAGTTTCTGGGTGAAGAGTCTCTGGGTTAAAAGTATATGGGTGAAAAGTATGTGCAAGAAGAGTTTCTGGGTGAAGAGTCTCTGGGTGAAAAGTATATGAGTGAAAAGTATGTGCAAGAAGAGTTTCTGGGTGAAGAGTCTCTGGGTGAAAAGTATATGGGTGAAAAGTATGTGCAAAAAGAGTTTCTGGGTGAAGAGTCTCTGGGTGAAAAGTATATGAGTGAAAAGTATGTGCAAGAAGAGTTTCTGGGTGAATAGTCTCTGGGTGAAAAGTATATGGGTGAAACGTATGTGCAAGAAGAGTCTCTGGGTGAAAAGTATATGGGTGAAAAGTATGTGCAAGAAGGGTTTCTGGGTGAAGAGTCTCTGGGTGAAAAGTATATGGGTGAAAAGTATGTGCAGGAAGAGTTTCTGGGTGAAGAATCTCTGGGTGAAAAGTATATGGGTGAAAAGTATGTGCAAGAAGAGTTTCTGGGTAAAGAGTCTCTGGGTGAAAAGTATATGGCTGAAAGGTATGTGCAAGAAGAGTTTCTTGGTGAAGAGTCTATGGGTGAAAAGTATGGTGGTGAAAAGTATTTGCAAGAATAGGTTTCTGGGTAAAAAGTATATGGGTGAAAAGTATGTACAAGAAGATTTTCTGGGTGAAAAGTATATTGGTAAAAAGTATGTGCAAGAATGGTTTCTGGGTGAAGAGCCTCTGGGTTATTCGTATATGGGTGAAAAGTATGTTGAAGAGTCTCGGTTAAAAGTATATGGGTGAAAAGTATGTGCAAGAAGAGTTTCTGGGTGAAGAGTCTCTGGGTAAAAAGTATATGGGTGAAAAGTATGTGCAAGAAGAGTTTCTGGGTGAAGAGTATATGGGTGAAAAGTATGTGCAAGAAGGGTTTTCTGGGTGAAGAGTCTCGGGGAGCAGAAAGGCCTAGAACCAAAAGTTATGTAGCAGAAAGGCCTAGAACCAAAAGTTATGGAGCAGAAAGGCCTAGAACCAAAAGTTATGTAGCAGAAAGGCCTATAACCAAAAGTCTTAGCAGACGGCCCTAGACCAAAAGTTATGTGCAGAAAGGCCTAGAACCAAAGTTATTGTAGCAGAAAGGCTATAACCACAAGTT